CCACAACTTTGCCTGGCTTTTATTTGTGAATCGTCTCCTGTGCATTTGTAGATAGCTGCACGCATTTGTGAATCGCATCCTGTGCATTTGCGAATTGTGAAACATTTCTTGCGTCAAGATGTGCTGACAATCCACAAATACGTGGACTCCCCCCACTGTCTACTCAAGCCAATCAGATAACAGCCACATTTCGCTGACCCAATCGTAGCACGATCTCGCTATAGCCAGTTTTGCTTTGCAATCAGGGCGTTCTCGTCCTGAGATAACTTCATTCATCTGCATTGGCTCATATAGGTAATATAAGGGCCATAAAATTTGTGGATCTCATTCTATTTATTTGTCAATATGTTTAATTTTTGTTAATCTCTTTACATTTATTTGTGGATCGTAATCTATTTATTTGGAATTAAGCAACAATTCTATCTCCATACTTTAGTCACTGTAAAATATATCAGTTCCCACTCAGTTGCTTCCCAACAATTCGATATGCTTGTCAAATGTCTGAATGCATTTTAAATGTCTAAATGGGATCTGGAAAAGTTGGCAACCATGTCCTCTTTCCTGAGATAATTCCACCAGATATACAGCCAGTAGTGTGGATCACATACAGGATTAAGTAAGTGTACCTCTTATGGAAGGGTGGGGTTCTCTCTGAATCTGTCACCTGCTTGAGTTCTGCATTAGTGGTAAATTTATTTCTTGGTGCAGTGAAGGCACAGCCTGTAGATATGTGGGCTCAAACCCAGAGGGGACTGCCATGTGTGGACACTCAATCGATGAGAGATTGTGGAGTGGAGAGAAAGATTGACAGCATCAGAAATATCGAAATAGGGCAAGAATGTGAGCCGTGTGATATGGCTTAAATTTATAGGTGGAAAGTTACCGAGAAGATGAGTTCAATCTCCAGTCCTTTGTAACGGGCTTCGAGGGCACTTAGATGACAAACATTTCCACAGTATGTTAAATAAATCAGTACAGTAAAACTCTACTCACCTGCCTGCTGAAAATATTTGGATTCAAAACTTATAATAGGATACAGGATATCCAACAAGAGATTTCAGCAGTTGGGACATACTGAAATCATTTTCTGCCTAAATGACTTTCACAAGGGTAGAGAATTTTGCTAATTACTATATACTGGTTCTAGTGACCTTCTTTTGTCAAAGAAAAGAATTAAAAGGAGAGATGTGGGCCCTTAAAACCCAATTTTAGCTCAGTGAAGGTCAGAACAAAGTGGCTGTGTCCCCTCCCAAGACTATCAATAATTTATACATTTGTTAAGGTAAGTCTCAGTTTTAATACCCTGACCAATTTAGAGCTGAATCTATTCACACGAGGCATGCAGATATATCCAGCCTTGAGGGGTGCACGAAATTTAAGCCTTGGCTTGATGAGAGAGAAGACTTTACAAGCAAGAAACAGTCACTGGACACATTTGGAATATTTTTTTAGGAACAACTGTTTTAAAAAGAAGAAGAAGAAAAAACACCACATTATTATTTTACTGTTCCATTACACAATATGCATGGAAATGTTTTATCATCAAAGCATAACAAGTATAAAATACATACAGAATACCAATGAGATCATGCTAAACACTGAATGAATGAATGAATTAATTAATTAATGAATATGGCTGACAATGAATACATTAATTGGGTACTTTTAAACCAGAGTTATACTACTTTTAAATATTTATTTAAAGACAATCAAAAACATTTATTTCCAACTATCATAATTTGTTTAGAAGGTAGTATTAGTTTTTTTTTCTTTCTTTTTTCTGATATGATGAAATACATTTTCAAAGCATAGTTTAGCTCAAATTCAAGCTTTCATGTTGATGTACTGCACAAGTTTCAAAGTGTCAAGTCATAGAAAACACAATGAGTTTCATGATTCAAAAGTTTCATGTTCTTTAATTGAATTAAAGGGATTAATTTAAAAAATGCTGTGTGTACTGAAGTTTCATGATTTATAAAAAAAAAAAAAACAATGCATATTAATTTTTAAAATCTACTTGATCTGCCCTCAGAGAAAAACTGAGCTCTCACTGGCTATTGTATATTTTCCAAAGAGTATGTAGGGGCAATTGAGAAAGCAACTGATTTATCACACAAATATTACAACTGGATCTGGAACTCCTTTGTCAAATATAATGTTTATCATTTGAAAATCATGATTTATTTTCACTTGTGCAGAAGAGCCGTAGAGGAAAGAAAACTTAATGAAAGGAAAGATAAATTAGAACTGAACTGTACTTTTAAAAATTAAATAAAAAGCTCTGATCCATAATTAAAAAGGATTTTTATTCAGGCACATTAAACTGTATGAGATGTCTGCAAATGCACTGAACAACTAATGACTAATTAGCTCTAAATGGCTTTATTCAGTGTTTGAATAATTTAATCTGAAGTTGAAGAATATATGGGAAAATATTCTTCGAAAAAGAACTGAAAGACATACAGTTTAAATGTATTTGAGTTTGGTGGCCCCCCAAAAAATAAACCAATCCATACTTACAGAGTCTCTACAACTTTCCAATGTAACTTCCATTTGACAGTCCAGGAACCCAGCTAACAGGGAACGTTACCAGAACATTCACTAACGTTCTTTAAAAGTTGTGTAAATGTTAGTACAAAACGTTATTACAATAATGTTTTTAGAACATTCTTATAACGTTGTTAATGTTCTTGTAACTTTGATAGAAAACGTTCTTAGAACAACGTTCTTGGAACGTCTTTAAGACATTATTTGTACTTGATGAATGTTCTTATAATGTTGATAGAAAACGTTCATAGAACAACGTTCTTGGAACGTCTTTA